ATGTAAATACTGTAATATTTTAAATATTTTGAAACATTACAGTATTTAAATTTAAATAGTAGAGAAGAGAAGCGCAGCAGGGCAACAAAGTGTTAATCCTTCATGCAGCTTATGCACAGAGCAGAAATGTACTTCTTGATCAGTTACACTGTAACACCTAAAGAGAAGTTCAAAAATAATTAAAAGCAACTTTTAACACTTTTATATTTTGTGATTATGACGATTTTACAATGTGGCATACTTTGAATTTTAAGTTGGAAGACAAAAGTCGATCGGTGCAGCTGGGCAGCAAAGGGTCAACCCTGTCACAAAGCTGCTTCAGCAGGGAACAGAAATGTGGGCGTGGCAGAGAGGAGCTCATGATATGCTGCAGAGGGAGCTTCTCCCTGCACTTGTGGGCTGCACAAAGGTGCAGCAGGAGCTAAATCATTCAAAATAATTTATTTTACATAAACAATCCATGCCGCTTGTGTGACTCATCCATCAATCAGCCAATTCTGTGTCATGTCCACTCTTACTTTGAAAAACCACAGAAGAGCGAGTCCGCAAAAGTCGAACCGCGAAGTAGCGAGGGACTATTTTCTTTCTGACCAGAGTGACAAGATGTTTGGCTAGTCCAAGACCTAAGTAAATTGCGGCTGTTTGATAACAACTCGTGGCAGCACGGTGGCGCAACTGGTAGAGCTGCTGCCTCTCAGCGAGCAGGTCCCTGGTTCAAACCCCGGTCCAGGGGCCTTTCTGGGTGGAGTTTGCATGTTCTCTCCGTGCATGCGTGGGTTTTCTCCGGGTGCTCCGGTTTCCTCCCACAATCCAAAAACATGCATGTTAGGCTGATTGGTAACTCTAAATTGTCCCTAGGTGTGAGTGAGAGAGTGAATGGTTGTTTGTCTCGTTTGTCTCTATGTGTCCCTGTGATGGACTTGCGACCCGTCCAGGGTGTACCCCGCCCCTCGCACAGTGATTGCTGGACATGGGCACCAGCGACCCCCGTGACCCAAAATGGAATAAGCGGGCAAAGAAAATGGATGGATGGATGGATGATAACAACTCAAATGTGGTTCAAAATAATATTTTTAATGAACGTTTACATCAGTGTTAATTTCTCCTCACGTGGTATTTTTACAGAAATAAAATGATGTTCCTGAAAGTGCTTCAGACTGAACTGAAAGTGTTATATAGCAACTGCTCCTCTTTGATCTTGCATATATATTTTATATAACTAATAGTGGAAAGCAAACCAGACAATATAAAATAGTGTTTGCATGAAGCATAAGGATGTTTTTTAAGATTAAAGCTGTATTAGGATGGCTTCAGTCAACATGGACAATTTATTAGCTCCTTAATCCATTCTAGATTAAACTTCAGTTCTCCAAATTTTTGTTCAAAGATCTATCTACAACAGGTAAGATATTGACCATGTATAACATTTCCACTGAATTTCACTTCAAAAGATCTGAACTTTGTAGCCCTAAAATTAAAATATTTTGGTTTTACCATGTTTTGCTGTTGCATATTTTATGTGTTGACTTTACAGACACCTATTACGCCTTGAACTTTTATCTGCTCGTGCGTTCAGTGGTTCCGAGCGCGCGCTTCATAGCGCTGAAGGCATCCCCTGAAGGGTGCGCTCACCGTGAACCCGCTCGTCTTTTTACACAGGAGCGAATATCTGCTCGTGGAACACTCTCCTCCTCGTTCAGGAGGTGAGGCTCCCCAGCACCTCCTCGGTACTGCTCACGAGCCTCCTTTAACATCCCTGCGCCCTCCAGCTGGAGACAGTCGGAGCGCGCGCCACACCGCGAGCGCATCAGAGCCGCTTGTTCTTGTGCCAGTGCGCAACTCGTTATGGGATTCTTAAGAGGACATTTTAAAGTATCGAGAGTTTTTCCTTTTCGAATCAAGTGAAAGTCTTTGAAAGGACATTTGAAGATGGATCTGCTGTGAACACTGACACACTTTAAAGAAGTGGCGCATTGTGTGGCTGTTGAAGAACAATTACAGGTAAGATGGTTCAAAAAGCATCTACTTAAGCTTGCATGCAGAAACTGGAGGCAGTCCTTTTAGTGTAATTACTGCACAATGATAAAGATGTAACAATATGTGAGACATGAAGGTTGGATTATTGAGGGGATGTGTATTTGTGCATGTGCTACTTCAAAGCGCACAGTCCAAACAGAAATCTGGGCTGATGTGTGCAGAGTTTCTCAACACTGTTAATGACTGACATGACCTCGATGCTTTTTCTCTGCCTTCAGTGAGGCTGCGTGTTACCTGACATGTCCAGACTTCACATGGGAACCAAATATTACAGCTAAGATTACTTTTTTATTATTATTAATAAAGAACATTATTCATTGAGAGAACACATCTTTGTTTTATACATTTTCTTGGATTTTCCTCTAAATGACAGCCGCATGGTCTGAAACAAAATAATGTTTTAATGGATTCTGTCACAATGATGATGACTGTGATAATTCTACTATAGATATTGGATTTTTGGCCGATATCCGACATGTTAAAACTTATTTGGCCGATAACCGATACCGATATTTTATATACTTTCCTTTGTCAGAACATATTCCTCTTATTTAGGATTATTTGCTACAAAAATTGTGTAACAACTGTAAAAGCTGGTGACATATATTCAGTAACAGCCATATGATATGCATAGCACTTTAACTTAAATTAAATGAAAAGTGTTAAATGTTATTTATTAGCATTAGTCACCTGTGATGCTGTCTCACTTGTGGAGGCTTGTTCTGGGTTCCTATAGCTGCAGTGTGGGCTCCTCTGCACTCTTGTGCATGAAGGACAGCCTTTTTATGCTCAAAGTTTCTGTCTATCCATTGTGCCGTAAGACTAATCATGCTAACGGGGCTAACACGACATCCAAATGTCTGTGGAAAAACGCTGGTTACATATTGTAACCCCAGATTCTATGAGTGTAAGCGTAGCCCTTTAAAAGCTGTCGCTATTGGGTTTACCTGCGCGCAGCGTGCCGAACACCAAAAACTTCTAGTCCGCGCCCACCTGCTGTGTGGGCCCCACTCAGTCTGTTATAAATTACATCTGGACCGGAGATTCAGTGTTGCCAGGTGTATGATAATTATCGTATTTGTACGACAATTTTGCCCTCTGTACAATGTACGATCAATAATCCCAAAAAAAGCCAAATATACGATAATTTGACCATTCCATGAATATGTGGTTGTAATCGGTTGTCATCAGCCTGTCGCAACTGTCTGTCGGGGTTTTTTGTGAACCCTGAAGGCATCTGTGTCCGCAAACAGATGCACGATTGGCTGGAAATTCCAGCTAGTGCTTTTCTAAATGTTATCTACGAATGACGTATTTGCGTTTGCTTCAGAACAACGGTCATGATTGGATGAATAGTTTGCTGCACCCCATGAGTGAGGAAAAGAAAAAAGAAAAGAAGAAGAAGCAGAGTCGTCTGGAAGCGGACCCATCACCACTATAGTGCATCAATAGATTTGTTATTTTGGTTATGACGGGTGTACAATAATTGTCCTCAAAATACGATAATTTTATGTCTCTAGTACGATAATCCTACATTTCTCACCTGGCAACACTGCAGAGATTGACTCCTGTTTTTCTTCAGCCAATAGCAACAGCTTTTAAAGGGCGTAGCTTACAGGAAATAGAACTCACCCAAGTGCTATCGGCTATTAGCTTCTCAATGACGTCGGAAATGACGGCTTGTAACTCGGGTAAGGTTATGTCGGAAAAATATCTCCGACTGGGGACGATGTAGTGAGGCTCAGTGTTGATCAAAAATCTTTGGAATCTGACATCCTCAAAAAAAAAAAAATTCCACCGCCGACATTTTGAATTTTCCTCTCCGCCCTGATCAGATCAGGTATGTGCACGTGATGTCATCACGTTGTGCTGGCGCTGCAAGCATCCTTGTCACTGAGTTGTCATACGAAAACAACATATTTTATACCGGTGAGTTATTTTGATGGAATAGCCGATGTCCGATATTTAACTTTATCGCAAATAGCGGTCGATACCGATACCTTGCGATAATATCGTGCATCTCTAAAAGAGATGTCTTATAAAGGGCTTTGTCTTTTTTATAGTTCTTTGTTCATGTAAATTATTGCACAGAGCAAACAAAAGATGTTTCTTTAACTGTGCGTCAACAAATTAGCATTTATCTGTTATCGAGTTCAAACAATCCTTTTAGCAAAATTTGTTCACCAAAAATTCCCCACAGTCCAAACTATCCTGCTGTTGCAGAACACCCCCCCCCCCCCCCCTCGACAAACTGGCATAATAAAACCACTTATGTTATTGGCTATGAACTAAGATGTCAGATTGTGTTTGCCTCCTGTGTACTGGCAGTGAATATGACAGCAGCAAGGCTGCTGGCACGACTGTGATCCCCCCTCATACAATTACTTAGGCTGTTGTTCATTTACATCCATGCCAAGTCCTGAATAAAAACAGCCAGGAAAGAATTCAACATAACTGGTCACAGCTGATCATTTGTCAGCATGGGGAATTGCAAGCATGTCCTCCTGGAGAACTTGTGGTTGTTCTGTGTGTGGAATTATTTCCCTTGGTAGCAGTGGGCTTGATCCACAAAGAGGTCCAGTCAGTGCTAGAAAGGTCTGGATCCAGATGAGCTCTTCTTCAGATGTGCTTTCAGTCAGGTCTGTTCTCTGGGGAGGTGATCGAGATGTAAAATCAATAAGTTCCCTCCAAAAATGGCTGTCCTTGTGTGTGACAAGAAAAAAGCATATCGCAAAGTGCTCAACGCAGTGTTGTATTGTGTGTGTTGTCACTCATGCACACAGCTTTATTGCAAAATGTCATGTGACAGCAGGTGGACCAGGTAAACTCGGCATCAGTCAGCAAGTCAAGCCAGAACAAAAATATATATAAAAAAAATACTGATAAAAATGATAAAACTTTAATTTCATGGGGTGCAATCCGTATTTAACTCTATTTTCATGTGCAGGTGGGATGTCATAACCAGCATTAGACTGAGAGAGACGGCAGCATCATGGAACCCTGTGTTTTCCCATCACCCCCTCCGAACTCATCAGAGCACCTCACATACAACAGCTTCATGCAGGAAAACGAGTCCAGCACCAGCGGGAACTACACAGACAACTTCACCAGAACCAGCACCGTGGTCATCACCTGCATGTACTTCCTGGTTTGTGCAGTGGGTCTTTGCGGAAATGCCCTCGTCATCTACGTCATCCTGCGCTATGCCAAGATGAAGACGGTCACTAATATCTACATCCTCAACCTGGCGGTGGCAGACGTTCTCTTTATGCTTGGCCTGCCGTTCATCGCCATCCAGCTGGCAATGGTCCACTGGCCTTTTGGGCTCGTGCTCTGCAGGGTCGTGATGACGGTGGACTCTCTGAACCAGTTCACTTCCATCTTCTGCCTGATGGTAATGAGCATTGACCGCTACCTGGCAGTGGTGCATCCTATTAAGTCCACAAAGTGGAGAAAGCCTTGCATTGCCAAGACTATCAATCTAGCGGTGTGGGGGGTGTCTCTGCTGGTTAATCTGCCCATTGTTATCTACAGTGGTGTGATCACAAAGCCCAACGGCTGCTTCTGCACCATTGTGTGGCCTGAGCCTCAAGAAGCCTACTACACAGCCTTCATGTTCTACACCTTCATTCTGGGCTTCTTCCTGCCCCTCATGGTCATCTGCCTGTGTTACCTGTTCATCATTATCAAGGTGAAGTCATCAGGCATCCGCGTGGGCTCCTCCAAGAGGAAACGCTCAGAAAGGAAGGTCACCAGGATGGTGTCCATCGTGGTGGCAGTGTTTGTTTTCTGCTGGCTGCCTTTCTACGTCTTCAACGTGACCTCAGTGACGGGCACCATCAGCACTACTCCCATCCTGAGGAGCACCTTCGCCTTTGTGGTGGTTCTGGGGTACGCAAACAGCTGCGCAAACCCCATCCTTTACGCCTTCCTCTCGGAGAACTTCAAGAAGAGTTTCCAGAACGTTCTGTGCCTTAAGAAGGTAGGAGGGCTAGATGAGGTGGAGCGCAGTGACAGCCGGCAGGACAAGTCTCGCATGATGAATGACCCCACGGAGACCCAGAGTACTTTGCTAAATGGTGACCTGCAGACCAGCATCTAAGGTCTTACAAACACACAAGAAGCTTGAGGAAGTTCATCTTTAATCTATCTAAAGAACTCCACTATGAAGCTTTAGTTGAGGACAAAGTTATAAATGAAATTCAAAATCAAGAAATGTCAAACCACAATGCTCCTTTTGTCACGTTGGTTATATCTGTTATTGGAAAAAAAAATCAATGGTTCCTACAATTCTCCTCCGCTTGCTGCAAATGAAATGTGGTTGACACCTCTCAGTACTCCGTGTTACAGACCTGAGGAGAGATAACAAACACCAACACCCACTTGCAAAGGGTCCCCAAGGATACATGGATTTTTTTCCTGGAGACTCCGGATTATATATGCTGTTTACAGCCGAGGGCCTGTGCTAAGTTTCCATATGTCTGTTCGGCTGTTAGGAAAAAACAAAAAAGCACAGCAAAACAAAACATGCTTACATCATGTAAATAACCCACTGTCGAAAGAAAGGCGAGGAGAGGATTTATCTGTAAATAATTGTACAAGAAAAAAGGCAAAAAAAAATAAATAAATTGTAGAGTCAGACATTAATAGCTTTTTGACATTTAGTTTTGAATCACCGAATCAGGAGTGAAATGTGTAAAAACATCAGTAACAGAGCTGTCTGTACCACCGATGTGTTAAATGTAAATGTGTGCAACAATGTTCAGTAAATGGGTGTTTTTTTTTTTTTGTCACATTCCACTCTAGTTTCATGCATAATTCAAGTTATAGACTGATACGATTCATGTCTGGCCATACATGAAGGCAGGGGCGATTCTAGAATCTGACCTTTAGGTGTCGACAATGGCTCTTGGCTTGAATAATGAAGTGGCCATTGGCGTCAGGAGCATTTTAAATGTTGGTGGACACACTGGCGGGGGGTCTGGGGCTCTTCCCCCAGAAATTTTGAATAAAGTAGATGCCATTTCCTGCATTCTGCTGCATTTGAACAGGTTCTTAAAGATCTACATTAACCTACATTTGTAAACCCTTGATTCAGTAACTATTTTAGACAGCAACAAGAAGTAACCTGGCCAACAGCTCCCCTTGTGTGAATAGAGCACGCTCCACTTCTCTCATGCACCCTAACAACACCACCCCTCCACCCCCGGTCGACAACTGCCAAGTACAACTGTATTGCGACGCACAATACAGACATGCTAGCTACTGAATTGATTGACAGGCAGCATCGAGGATCCGACTTGTGCAAAAAAATAAAAAAAATAATAATTTTACTGGCTAGTTTAAAAGCGTCATCATTTATTCCATATTTATTGCAAATTTACTCAATATTTTGGTGAATCTAAAGTTTCAGAACGATTTCCTACCAAAATCTAAAATTTTCATGGGTGATGATTTAAAATTTAGGGGTGCTTGAGCACACCCAAGAAGAGGCTAAAATCGCCACTGCATGAAAGCGATACAAAGATGTATAAAAGGTGATAAAAGACGTTGCACGGTGGTAAATGGTGGTTTTTAGTACCTTAAATTTCTGTGGGGGTAATGTTCTGTGTCACTGTATAGTTTGCAGATGTTACTTTTTTATGTTGGATTGTGTGACTCTTAATAATTTAATATGAATCTCAAGGTGTGGCTTCATGTTTATAATGTGTTTATATCCGCGCATGAAGCTTAATGTTTCAGGAAAGATTTGTACCCTCTTCTGTCCACTCTTTGGAGTTTTTATTTGAGCAAATATAGAATGAAGCTCCAAAGGTATAAAGTGATGGAAGACTTTTCTTATTTTATGTTGATCTTTTGGTTCAGATTTATAGCTCCTCTCCTGCTGCCCCTTGTTGCAGTTTTCTGATAGTCTGCAGCGTCTGGGAGGCGACAGTCCAAGGAAGTTTTCAGCCACCAAGCGTCTGGAGTGATTTGAATTTGTGAAGGGCTAGAACACTCCTCCTCAAGAGGTTGTGGTGTTCCTTCATCACCGTCACAGCACTGCTCCGCAGTCCACACTTCACCCTGACAACCTGCATGTCTGCTGCCAGAGTCAGATTACTATCTGAGTGATTTATTTACACTACATATGGAGGCGTCCTCACAATGCATCAAAGCAACAGAAAGGTTCTGATTAATGCACATAAAATCTGTCACTGTGTGTGTGCTTTGTGTTGGTGTGATCACAACAGACAAAAATCACAATGCAAAGGTGTTGGAACAAATCTGAGCATGTTGTTCGGAAAATGTGCACATAATGTCCTTATCTCACACTCAGACTTTATCTGTGTAATCAGATTACATTTTCTATCTTTGGATTTCTGAATCGGGTCTTATTTAATCATTTTTAATAACGTCGAAAGATGTGGCTCATCTGTTGTCATATATTTCTATAGCAACAGTGACCTGGGTGTTAATGGCACAGAAACATTCATTAGTATTTTAATGAGACAACTTTAGGCATGACTTATGCATTTGGACATTTCACAGATGCCTAAAGAAAAAGAAAAAAAGACAAACATAACACTATATTAAGAGCACCATGCAGTAAATGCAAATGTCTGAGTAAACCACCTTATATTATTTATTCTAGTGTGGTATAAAATGTAAGCCAGTGCTAAACGGACACTTAGCATCATAGTAACAAATATATTAAGCAGTATTAACAGATGTTCATAAGGCCTACTTTTTGCAACTGCTTTTTTGTTCCATCTGTGTTTTGTGTAGTTTTCACACATTGGAATGTCCCTGTACAAAGTTTGTATTAATATATGTAATTATGTCCCTTGTACCTTTTTTTGCTTAGTTTACAGCAAAATAAATGACGTCTGTGCACAGCTGTGTTGAAATGAATAAAGATTAAGAATTTTTTTTTTTTAGATGAAATGCGTTCTCTAAATGAACATATTAAAATTAAGAGCCAATTCAAATACAGAAAAACAATCTTTTAATTAACAGTGAGATCTTTACATCAATTTAAAGTTTGATTTTCCACATGACATTTTGTTCCCCCCACCAAAATGATCAAATTTGTACAAATTACAATTAAAGCACAACTGAAGTCACAGCAGATATTTTCAGGAAATATCAAGGCCCATTTGCCTTAGAAATGTGCAGCATTTCATAACAGTATGAAAAGAAATTTTAATGTAAAGCTTTTTAGATAAATAGCTTTTTTTTTAAAACTATTTTTCAGTCTGGAATGTGTATTTTTGTCTTGACCAACAGGATTTTTTTCAGAACGTTGTGCTTCTAAATGTGGCCACAGGGTGGCGCCAAAATCAAGTGCATAAGGAAAAGGTGCTCAAAGCTCAAGACACAAATCCTCCACATGTTTGCAGCTGTAGGTTTTTTTTATTCAGTCCATGAACTCTTGACAAACATCGTTTTAATATTTCCTTTTCCTGTCCTACCATGATAATACCTCAGCAGTAATGCAGGAAATAGACAGCAGACACGTTTAAAAGCTACTGACAGATTTGGCTCAGATGCGCTACAGCGCTCCCACACCCCCCCGCCCCACCTTGGTCTGGTCTTAGTGCAGAAGAAAGATGAGACAAAAAGACAGTACACCACATAGACATTCCAGTTTTGGTGAGAGTTTAATTACTGAAACAGATAATGAATCTCTCCTCTTTGTTTTTGTGAACTGTTTCCCTGAATGTCCTTAGAAGGCCTAACTGCTCTGTGATGCAACAAAACCAAAGTGACCCATCAGACAAGTGTTTCACTCTTCCAAAAACTGCAGCAGACCAGAAGATATGCATGTTTCATAGTGATTTCAGCAGCAAAACAAAAAGATGGTGTTTTTTTTTTCTCTCCATATTCTGACATGATAGAGCGCCACTTTTTTTTTTTCAAAATGAGGGAATATCATCGTTGTACTTTTCATACAATTACAGTGACCCTGATGTGTATGTGCATAATCTATAGTGTGACTTGACTTACTGAATCAAGTTTACCGCACTGCAGAGGCGAAACAAACCACAAACCACAGTTGCCATAGAGAAGTTTAACACTGATGGATTCAGGCTGTGGTCAAATAGTCCCCCATAAATGTGCAATGTGTGTTACCCTCTATACAATCTCGTAAATTCACCCTTCCATTTTCTGAACCACAGAACAAAAATCACATTTAAGAGCAAGCCTTAAACCGCTCCTGATTTATCACTTAATCTGGTATGAGCCCAGTTGCATGCGGTGTTGTAAAATGATTTTTTGTCTGTTGCACAGAAGGTTCAAGGTGGCCGTTGAATCCTCGCCTATAGGACCAGATCTGGCATTTACACATTTGTTTTTTTGAGAATGCCACATTTAACCCAAAGTTCATATTCAGCAAATGATTTCTAAACATCAAAAGTAAGCCAATGTATCAACACCGTCATTATGCCAACAATTCCACAAGAATGAAAGTATAATATGCCCAAAAAACATTTCCAGTACCAGGACAGCTACGGACATATGAATGTACTGAAATCTTTAAGAAAACACAATAAAAAATAAAAAACAGTAAACAAAATGTCAATAAGTTGCTAAAAAAATAGATATTCCCTGCCCTCAACCAGACTTTAAAATGAAAATAATCAACGGTGTAAATAAATCTGTTTCGTTTCCATGGCAGCGATTCCCCAGCAAGCGGCCAAGGCAGCTTCGCTAAGCTCTCCCATGTTTCACTGCTCTTTAAAAATAGATGTATACAGTATTTCATAGCTAATTTCACAAGTGATACGCATCTTAACCATACCTTTAAAATGTCCTTGTTTTAACGTCCATAATACACTAATGTATATATATAATTTTTTCTTTTGCACTCGGTCCTTGATGTATATGATGTCATACTGTCCTCCATCACGAGCGAGTTAAATGCTTCAGTTGAAATGAGAGCACCATGGGAGAGAACTGTAAGGTGTTTTAGGGAGGTGCACGGGGGAGGAAGAATACTGTAAGAAAAATCCACGTGCCTGAACTCCGCCACTGCAGCAGGAAGAGGAAATGAGAGGTTGAAGTGCGAGCGCGCGTGTGTGTGTGTATGGGAGGGCTCTTCTCTCTGATCAAGCCTGAACCGACGACGGCCGACTCCTCCACCAGCTCTCTTCTTAGTTCGGTTTTGTCAAGTAGATGCCAAGAAGTAGCTCAGTGCTTTTTTTTTAAATTCTGAGTTTGTTTGTTTTCTTTTGCATGACTTTACATGTCTTTTTGTCCTGCTCAGCTGGAGGAGCAGACTGGTGGTCAAAAGGTTTCAGGTAGGTTTGTGTGTTTGCACTTCATCCTGCCCCCCCCAGTCTTTGACACCCTCCTTTGAAGAAGTGGCCCTTCATGTTTAGTAGTCACAGAAACTACTCATACTCTAGGAACTGTTTATGATAGAATAAGAGATACCTAACAGAGAAAAGAAACACTTACATTAGATTGCATACATAAAAAGTAGTTCACATTAGTGACGATGTTTTAGATGATTTCTTACCCTTCACTATCAAGTACATCCTTAATGCTGGCCTTGGTGATGATGGCATCATCACATTTGAACCACTGGTCTTTGTGTTGACGGATGAAGCTGGTGTAGTGACCACTCTCCAACGTGCCTTGGTGGTTGACCACGGCAAACAATGAATACCTGAACAAAAGTAAATCAGGATAAATAAAGAGCCGATAGTGTCGCCTCATTGATTTTATTCTATAATTATCCAGCTGTGCTCCTACAACCGTTGTTCATTTCATAAAAAAGGGAATCTTAAATCATCTTCACCACAAGAAACTATTTTATTAAGACAATAAAGTCAGAGGAAATGTCCTGGAAAATGAGAAGCGCTGTAACCACCATAAATGAGGAAAACGAAGAGTCTTTTAATAGGCTTGAAACTGATTTAATTAGAGATGGTCACAGGCGGATACTTTAAGTCTTAAAATGCTGAACACTATTTTTGAATAACGGCTGAAAATGGGGTTAATCAAACTAGTTGCACATGTACTCACTTATTGTCATTGTTTAATACTTCCACTGACTGTTGATACTGCCCATTCATTCTGCTCTCTTTACTGTGGAATATAAGAAAATGAAGACATTAACATCACACACCTAGTTAAACATTTAACTGATAAAACCACTAGGTGGCAGAATTATACAAGTAATGAATGAAGGTCTCCAAGCCTGAGCAACTAATGCTCCTTCTGGATGCAAAATGCTGCTGCTTATATAAGCTTATCATCAATATACATGCAAACAAAATGAAAGTGAATTTGTTCGCCTCTGCTGAGAAGAAAGAACAAACGAGTGTGCTGCGGCAAAAGCAAAGCAATCCTAACGTCTGCTGGAGTCTCACCTGGATGCCATGAAGGGTGTCATGTCCAACTCTAGAGGAAAGGAAACGTACGTAGTAATCTTCCTTCGCAGTTTAGCAGAGTGTTCAAACCGCTAGAGAAACGAAGAAAAATGTGAAGGAAAACATGATCAGATTATAAAAGCAACTGAAATCAGACTGTGTGTTTACGTTTTCGCCACACAACATAATTGCAGCCTTAAATTTATTTTAGCCAATCCATTAAAATCTGTTTGGTTGAATATTAATAATGCATTAATTGTCTTCAGTACTGTATGATAAATAAAACATGGAAAGTTGAGGGCTGAGAGAGTCATTAGAACCACAGGTGTCCTGGGACACTACGTGAAAGCACTAAACTGCAGGAGGCAAAGCAACAACTACATTAAATTATGAACACACTCATGCACACGTCAATAAGGTAAGCTAAATTATGAATAAGAAACAGTTGAGCCATGCTACGTGGTGCTAATCATAAAGCTGTACAGTTTGAGAGTGATGGCCAACATCACTACTGACTCACTTTGAGATGAAAACATGCTACGATGGGGAGCTTCTTCATTGTCAGCTGTTTGGTGGACTCCTGGTAACTATGGCAACCACCACACTTGATTTTGGCACTGCTTCCAAGATGCTCAGGCCGTGTAAACCTGCAAATCAGAAGACAATATGTTCAGAAAGTGGAGAAACCATTTATTGACCATTTTCTTTTTGCCTGGTCACATTTCTGCTAAATACTGAAACATCTGTAGCTCAAACAGCTGAAAGTAATCTAAATACATTTTAGCCTTTATGATTAAACAACATTCAGATTTTGCTGCATCTTTTAGTTCCCTAAACCAAAAATCCTGCTGGTCTCGTCAATGCCTCCATCACCATGGAAACAGCAACAGCCTGCTCTGTACCTTTAAGAGACTTGCTGCAGCAAGTAGGGGTGTGTGAGGTGCTGCAGTGAAAAAAAAAATGTCAGCAGGAAAGAAGGTGAGAAAACGAGGGGGGCGAGACAAATGCGAGAGGTAGAGACCGAGGGCATGAGGGGAAAAAGGAATCAGGGAGAAAAGGAGGGAATGAAACAAGCAGAGGAAAAGTGAAAAAGAAATTGCAGGAATGAGGAGGCAGTGGAGATGTGAGAGGTCACACCTGCTCCATCAAACTAGTGATGGGAGAAGATGAGACCCAAGCAGAACACGGCTGCTGTGAGTGAGCAGACGACATATGTGACTCTTCATACAAGTGAGGGGGCAAATTAAATTTGTTTGGCTACTATTGAAAGAAAAGGTTATGGACAGGGTGTGGCAATACATTTTAAAATGTGATGTAAATCATTTATTTCTTTCCTACAGTGCATAAACATGATTAGTGTTCTTGTCCATCAGAAGAACAAAAACAATAATAGTGCAATAAAAACGTCTTACATCTGTCCTACCTTTTGTTTTGTGCAGCAAAATACTTCAAAAATCTAATTGGCTGATAAATTGTTTTGACATTTTAAAATAAAAAGAGGCAGGGTGGGGTGGGGAGGGAAGACAAGTGACAATTGCCATCAAAGAGAGAAACAAAAAAAACGTACCTGCGCAGGCAGTCTGTGAGTGTGGTGGATCCTGACAGGTGGCTCTCGCCATTTACTGTGCTGCCATCCCCTCCGGGGCTGAGGGGCCAGAAAGGCGTGGATGAGCCTGGCAAATCCAGACTGATGTCCCAAAATGGGTCTATCGTCGTGGAAACGCCACTATAAAAGAAAACACAAAAACACAACAAGGTTAGATCAGTTTCCACTTTGAATAAATGTATGTTTTGGTGTGGGTCTGTTTATCACTTATTACAAATGATGAAAGGATGATGACATAGATTGCAACACGTACACACACACAACTTAACTCGACTCGACACACCCTCTGTGGGTTTTGATCACGTTTTATTTTTCTTTTACTTCTGCTGAGAGATGAAAATTGTGCCTGTGCATAGCATCCACAATGAAGCTGCAGAGTAATTTGTGATTCAGTGAAGGGTTACATCAGAGAAAATTGGCTTTGCAAAAAGGAATTACTATTATTAGAACACAAAGACAGTGATGGACCGTGGCCTGGGCAAAATGGTGGCTTCCACAGGCGAGTACACATAAATGTGTGCTTATATTTACAGTGATGAGCTGCTGCACATTACTATTGTTAATGAGATGACTCATGGTTTTGTAATAGGCAGAGGTACTAGTGGTAGGCCAATAAATCAAATATGCAAGTATTTATGGTGATTGGAGTACCACGCTGCTGGAACATAGCACCATTAGGTTAGCTCCTTTGTTCAAACGCTTGATAGATTCTGTTGATTGTTTTGCCACTTGTAATTTGTTAACGAGGATCTTCAGTAAAATCAAGGGGTTTGAATATTTGTTAGCTCCGAACAAAACAAAGTTCTGCATTAACGGTCTTTTTAACTGCAGTTGCAGAAAACATCGCAATAAGCAGGACCCAGTTTGTCTGCTAAACTGGGCAAGGTGCTTTGCAGTTCAGTGCAGCATGCATGCATTAATGCGACAGGACAGCTCTAGGGGGCGGCGAGGCAACGCCTATATCGTGCCGCTGTCTAGACAACCTCTATTAAAGTAGCTCTGCAGGGACTGGGTCTAGAACACGAACAGCTGGGAGGACACGAGCTGCCCATCTTATTACACAGACTGATAGAACAAGCAGAGTCTACATGGATCTACCTGGCTGGGAGAAAACATCAGGGAACAATGGATGAAAGAGTAAATACCAGAAGAGAGATTGATTAAACACACACAATATAAACTTACTGGCAAACTTGGCAGGTAACATCCGACTGCAGGCCTCCAGTGAAGATTTGGTCTATGATGCAATTACAGTGATTTGGATTGTTGGTCTTTTTCCCATTGTCATCTCCTGCAAAGAACAGGCAACGTAAAATAAGTGACATCATCACAACCATCACCAGCCTCTTTAGCAGTTTGAAAAACTGTGTAGCTTTCCTTTTTTCTTTACCAGTCACCTGCAGACTCCGCTTCCTCAGAACTGTCCTAGTTTTCTCCAGCCACCCTAAACAAACCTAAGTGCTGTGTGTGAGTCAACCTACCATCACACTGCAGCAGGGCCTATTGACATTCCTTACACTGCTTACAGGCTGCCCCCTTGGTATACACTATTGTAAGTCTCCTTCAGTATTTTTCTCCTGATGTAAGGCACTATGTTCTTTAGGTAGCTCAACACGCCCAGTAAGAGTAGGTAGCTCAGCCTCAACTTATTGCACCGATTTAGTCAAGAGCGGCTGTGTACAATGCAAACCCTGAACTGAAAGTAAATCCTTTAAAGAAGTGATTTAACCTAAATTACATTTTTCTTTAAATTGGGGTCATGTGTGAAGCTTACTGATGGTGTCTCCTTTACAGTGCCGATGTAGTACATCCAGTGCTGCAATAAGGAACTCATGGGCATCTTGCTGCTCGTAGCCTGCGAGATGACGTGCATGAGTCCACACGAGGTGCAGAAGTCGGAAGGGAATGTGGGGTGAACGGTGGCCCGAGTAGAACTGACAGCAAAGAAGAAAGATATGGTTAAATATGGTTAATATGGGAGGGGGAGAGTCAAAGTATTTATATTTGTCCAAACATGCCACAATAATGTTTCTTTACGAATCTTACGGATTATTTTTATTTTCTACACAGAGCTTTTCAAACCAAAAATATTTTTAAAAAGGACAATAAAAAAATAAGGCCTGTTCAAAATAGGCCACATTTTAATTTCAAATCTAAAAATATGTTTATTTATTTAATTATTTTTTAAATATGAAAAAACAAAACAAAATTAAAAAAAATACAGCAGGAAGCATAATGTTAAAACTTTTTGTTTTACATATTCAAGGGAGTGGGTAAAGTATAAACATATCAAAATTCCCAATCCTTAACCATTTCTATAATCTTACATTTATTACATGTAAATATATATAACAACTAAACCCACATTTAACCCATAAATATAGTATCTAGTTAAGTTAACTACAGTAGATAATTATTATTTCTTTAAAAAAAAAAAAAAAATCTACCATCAATAACAAAAACACAAACAATAATTGAATAATAATATTAACGGTATATATTATATCCAGCAACAATCATATGTTTGTATATTAATTTGAACAGTTTTATGTTTGGACATCATCTAAGTTCAATTCTCAAATTATTCCACAGTTTGACTCCACTTACTGATACACAAGTTTTTTCTAGTAGTTCTGAATTTGCATATTTTAAACTGTGATTCCCCTTAACCTATAAATGTGTTCCTTAGTCTTAAACAAGTTTTGAATGTTTTCCGGTAATTGTTTATTTTTGGCTTTGTAAAGAATTAGAGCTGTCTGTAATTTCACTATGTCAATGAACTTTAATCATTTAGATTTTACAAATAGTGTATTAGTGCTTTCTAAATATCCCACCTTACGGATTACTCTTGTTGCTCTTTTTTTTGTAGTATTGTTAATGCCTGTGGTGTAGTTTTGTAATTATTGCCCCAGATTTCTGCACAATAACTTAAATAAGGTAAGATCAGCGGACAGTAGAGTACATTTCTGGAGACTTTACTTTGAACATATCTGATGTGTGGTTTCCAGTTGAGTTTATCATCAATAATGACACCAAGAAATTTGTTTTTATGAACTCTTTCAATATTCTCCTCATCTATTTGTATTTGAATTTCTGTACGTGATTGGACAGTTCCCAAATAACATTATTTTTGTTTTGTTTAGGCTCAAGGGCAGCTTATTTTCATCAAACCACATTTTAAGTTTGTTCAATTCATCAGTTACATCCTTTAATAGTTCCATGTAATCTCAAACACAAAACAATGCTTGTATCATCAGCAAATAGTGCTTTTCCTTATCTCAGGTAAAATTTATTTTAACAGGTATTTTAACTACAGATTTGTTCAAAATATTGGAGGAAGATTTGGAAGAACAAAAAAAAAGTGCTGCTCTAGTTTTTATTATTGGTTTTAAATTGTGGAACTTTGTATTTGATCAACCCTGGATTTTCCACCACAAAGAGAAAAATACAGAGATCGACATGTGCCTCTCTGAGTGAACTAGCCGAACGATTACCGCCCTCGTGTTTAAGTATAAAACGGTTCGGCTGACTGAGACGGGACTTGGTTCTATAAGTGCTTTATTAAAGGGTTACGGGGTAGTTGTGACTCAACACATTTTACATTAAAGCACCACTTTCCATCTGTGGGCTTGAATATTCTGAGATGTGAGGAGATGTGAGGAGATGTATGAAGATAGCGAAGCAGTGTGGGAGCTGACCAGGTGGACATTATATAACACTTTAAGCTCATGAGCTTGATAAACATAAAGTGATTTTTTTTGTTGTTGCTAATGGTTAGGAATGACTAAAAACACTTTGTTACACAGGTTGGTATGACCGATCAGGCAGAATTGAGGCAGAATTACTACATTTAGCTCATACATTTCATTCAGACAGCAGTTTTCTCCCATTTTTGCATTTGACAGAAAAAGCAGGGACTCGTTTTTCTGCTGAGATTGTTGAACTGAGCACCATACCTCCTGAAAGAGCTGCGACATCTCACACACCAGACAGGAGTTTGATTGCATCTCGCACTTGTGTCTGTCAGAGAGAAAAAAGTCTCGCAGCAGCGGTGTGTGTGTTAGCGCCTGAACAATACAGTTCATGAAACATGTGTTGCCCAGGTTTATTAGCCCTCGTAAACCTGCAGGACAAAGACAGTAGGAGAAGTGTGAGAACGACATGGCAGCGACATGGCACACCACACTTGCTTCAGCTGGCAACAGGGGATTTTAAAATTACCAGCGAGATTATCTGCTGTGTACTTCCATATTGTCACTGTCAAGCAAAAACGTTGCATTGTCATTTTTTTAAATTATTGTCAAGTTTTTTGAATAAATCAACTCTACTGGTTACACTTCATATCATTCTATGAATTTCAAATGAAATGCATCAAAAACAACTGGTAACTTGTGACCATGCAGACTCAATTTATTAAAAATAAAATAAAATATATGAATGAAAAATAAATAAAATAAAAATAATTATGTTTTTGAAGCTACAAGGTCCCTACCCAACAGTGACAATACGAAAGACTGAATTCTGATATTCTACTTCAAGACACTACAGTGGTTCCCAACACTGGGCCCTGAGGAACACCATCCTGCATGTTTTAGTTGTTCCTCAGCTCCAACACACCTGATGTGAGTGAAAGGGTGATTAACAGGCTGCTGTCAAACTTAAGGAAGTAATTAAACCACTGAATCAGGATGGTGTTCCTCAGGGACCAGGGTTGGGAACCACTGCTTTAGGACACCCCTGATGTTATTTGTTCATGCCCCGAGTGGTCAGAGCTAACTTGGTGGCAAAACGGAGGACAAACTCATGAGGTGGGTATTTATACCATTATAGCTCATTAGTGCAAAGACCTGACAGATGGTATTTCATACAGGATGTTGTCTTCTCAGAAGAATACAACAAAGAGTCTTAAAACCTTTGTAAATATGTTTTACATGTAAACATGTCTGAAAACAGATTTCAGCTTGAAATTAATCATTTTATTTAATTCTATAAATTGTGCATATTCAGAAAGTGTTTGAATAGTTATTAGCATCCTGGAGAGCTGTGAATGAACTCATTTAGTCCTTTACTGATGGCCAACTGAACAGGTGAAACACAGCTAGGTCTTGGGTCTAATCCAGTCGAGCACAGTTTGGTACTGGAAGATTGCACTCAGTAAGAGTGTAAACGTGTTACAATGCTCCTGGCATGCTAATACACAACACACAATCTATTGTCAGTCTGGCTAACAAGATCATTTGTTTAAAGATATTAAGGATGGCTGAGAAAGGGGTACAATCAGAACATAAAAGAAAACAACAGATTATTGAAAAAGCGTGACAGAAGGAGAACAACTTCTGTGCAGTGAGAAACAAACACAAGCGTGTCGTGCAGCTATCTCTGAGGGAACATTGCGTTCTGCCTCTCACTGTGCACTGCCTGTAGGGTGGCTCAGTGCAGTTGACCTTGGGCATTGCACTTAAATGCACGACTGACCCCAAGCACACTTGCACAATGTACACACAGCAGGGAATCACACAACTGTCAAGACATGAAAAACTGTGCTGATTAGGATGTCCAGACCAAACAGTGCACTCTGTTGCCCACCTATGGTACAGTTTGTAGTGATTTTCCTTCTCTTTGGATTGTGTCGTAATAATTCTAGCTCCCTCTTGGTTGGCTCCCATGTTGTGTATTTCTCGCCGATGCCTGTAGATAAAAAAACAACACTTTAATACACAACAAAATGATTTAAAAAAACTGCAATAATTTCTCAGTCATGAAGCAGGCAAAAATACCTTGCAATTTCCAAGCTTTCCTCTGTTCCTCTTTGGCAATCTGTTCCATGTCTTTGTCGTATATGTAGTCTTGACACACAAAACAATATATCCCACCATACAATAAGTCTATAGCTGGAAGGAGGAAGAGACAGAAAATAAAAAAAAAATGATTAAAATTTTTATTTGAAATAGGTTTTGCAGGGTAATAGAGCAGATTTAGTTTATTTTAAGTTTACTGGTTGAGTCATTTTTAAGGGGAAAAAAAGGCTAAACTTTCAATTCCTGAAATGTTTCACTCAACCATTGGTGACCATAAAATTTCTCTGAGCAGGTGATATACAATGAGAGGAGCAGCGATGGTATGGGTTTATTTGTTTCACCACTCCCACCTGTGCCGTGCACTAACACATATACTACAATCTTTCGTCCTCAAAGTCCACAGCAACAATACCTCAGCTCTGTTGCCGTGACAACCTATTTTTAGTTTAACTGGACGTATTTCTGTTTTTGGTGCTACCCACACTCAGAAAGTGAGCTCCATCCAGCATCATGTAGAAACATGGTAACGATACCACGTTAGTTTTCTTTTCGTTTTTCTTCCAAAGTATAAAACAGGAACACGTACATCAAAAGAACAGACGGGCACCACCCCAGCTAGAACAATTTGCAGTTTTAGGAAGCATAAACTGGCCAAATAGCTTCATGAAACACGGTCAGATACTGATAATTAGCTGTTTTCTTTCTTCAACTAAGTGAAAGGACAAGAAAGAACAAAGTCAATAAAAGGAATTACCATTACTCAAGGCAGGTGCCACGCACTGTCAACAGAACCGAGCGCCCCGCCTACCAAATCCCCCACCCCCCACTCTGCTCCTCCACTTCCGAACAGGGAACGGAGATTGTAGCAGCTCAGCGCAGACTCCAAACAACGTGCAACACAAACATAGCGCTAGGCCTGTCACTACAACAAATTTTGCTGGGCGACTAATTGTCTCAGAAATTATTGAGATAAACGATAAGATTGTTTGAAATTCGACAATAATTGGTAATTATTGTCAAATTTAAGAAGAAATGTTGGTTACAGTTTTTTGAGTGTAGCACCTTTTTTGACCACCGGATGGCAATATAAGACTGTTTGAACTGAAGGATGGATAATGAGGGAGTCAGCAGCGTGTCTCTAAGAAAAATGGGAGGGAGGCCCCTTGACGTTACAAGGGCGATCTCTCCCTTTTTATTTGGTTCTCAAAATGGCGGATGCTCGGTGTGGTTTGAGCTCTTTAACATAGCATTTGTCACACAAAGCTTTTAATAAAAAATCAGTTAAAAAGTTCTCAGCTTCTTTTTGCAGAGAAAAACAAGTTTTTACACAAAGGCACGAGTTCCAACTGTGAATTTTGGCGCTTTGACAAGACGGATGTTTTTTCCCCAAGGACGGCCTGTTAGCTTAGCTCGTAACTTAGCTTCTCGGCTTAGCTGCTTATAGCGATCCAAAAACACAATCTTGGACAGTTGAAACAAATTTTAAAGAGAAAAGAGAAAGGGAGGGGTCAGTGAAGAGCACCGGCGCAGAGCTTTTTGTCATCCAGAGTCTTCAGTAGAAAGAGAGACAAGAAGTAATGATAAAGCCGATAAATGAAAATGACATTGATAATTTTAATTTATCACGCGATTAATTGATTTATTGTTTACTGTGACAGGCCTACGTAGCACTCTGCTATATCTATATCAAAATTAGATTAAAAAAAAAGGGAAATGGGGGTTCAAAGAAGATCTAAAAGTAATATTTAGAACGAAATAAAAAATGAACGATGTTAAAAACGGAAAAATAAAACAAAAAGAGCAATGACAAGGGACTTGCACTCTTGTAGTCCTACAAACATGGAAGTTTTGATTAATTTGATTAGAGGCAAAGACAAGCAGATAGCCAATGTCAGAGTGGCTCTTGTGTAAAGCTCAAAGCTAATTAATACGACAGCCCCACCTGGACTATGTGTGTAACCTAACGGTTGCAGTGCATCAAATCAATTAAAGCCATTAGAACATCTAGAAAAAGCCACATATTATCTACATGTATTTAGTTGTTTGCATGAGGATAACATCTAACTCATATATGTGTGTCTTTTAATTAACATATAAAGCTGATGTTGGGCTTTTGAAATGTGGTGGGTTGGTACTGCCTCTCCTTTGCTGCTACATAATGGTTGCTGTAGCAGCCTAAACACATTGAATAGATTTGAGTTTACAACTGTAACAGTAATATGTTGCAGTGCGAGTGAGGTTTAACTCCCTGGCTGCCTAGAAGAAGTTGTTTCAAAGGATGCTGTTAGTTAAACTTCAAGCAATTAGTCCTTGTTCAAACCAGGCACTTATATCTATCCTGAGCACTCTGAACACACTTGGACAACACTAAATACAGATGTGAACACTCTAAAAACAGACTGGAGACAGCTTTGCTTAGACCACCTTCTAAGTTGTTTTTACCTGTTTAATTTAGAGGTCTTCCTCCCTTTCTCTCTCAAACATCTGTCCTCTTTGTCTACATTCAAAATGTTTTATTAACTTAAAAACGATAACTTATACTCAGAAATAAATAAGCCTTTCAGATGACAGGTCAAACATCTTCAGGAACCAAGAAAACAAATCCAGTTACCATATTTTCCAGTGTATAAATCACAGTTTTTAGCATAGATTTGTCAGTCCTGTGACTTACACGCCAAAGCGACTTATATACATTTTTTTTTTCCATATTCAAAACGCAATTTTTGACTGACACTTTAACTTTCCAAGAACTGAAACAGCGAGTCCTCCCGTGCCTGCTCGCTTCACTCAGCTGGTGTAGGCGGAGGAACACTGGAGAGCTAGCGGCTCCAGCTGTGATGAATGGTTGGATGGTTGGATGGTGTCATGGCGAAATGAAGCTGTTTTGACCATTAAATAAACACATAATAAACGAGACGAGTCAGCGGTGACGCATGATAATTGCGACTTATATACGTTTTTTCCTCTTCATGATGCTTTTTTTGACTGGTGTGGCTTATATGCTGGAAAACATGGCACTTTTTTCCTCCTTAGGATTATCATGTACTGGATGACTGAGAATGTACACCAACATGAATGCATACCAGAAATTTGGGCCATAATTTAAAAGATTCAAATGATTTATACCCAGTGTGCCTACGTTTGCATGCCACTGGATGCTGATATTTTAAGGGTTGTCTGAGTTAAGTGACAGACCATTTATTAAAATGCTAAGTGTGATGACTTCAGCAGTAATGAACCTGACAGCTCTACAACACCCACTGTTTGATAACTGAAGTGTAGTGGCAGCAGCAGACGTGTGAAGCCAAAATACCTTAAGAAATATGGATTGCGTCATATCACCATTCCATGTTTCTTAAGAAACTAGGGTTGTTTTGGGATCACAAAGCATGATCATTTGCTTTTCTTTATTCTTCTGTTATCAAAAGACTGTTAACAGTCATAACGTTAAATTGTGTTAAGGAAAACTCTTGTTTGGAAGATGTATAGAATTGGGAATGCTACCAGCGTGCCTTTGACATTAAATATAGACACTCGCATAACACTATAATCTCTCACTGATATGTAGTCACACTGCATTAAGACACGACACATATGAATGTGAGGATAATTCTGGGAGTGGGACCTGGTGAGATGAGGCAATAAATTATTACGACCATTTGTCACATAACACTTTATATTTTTTTTTTATTTGATAGTATCCTTTACACCCTTTATTACATTCTTATTAACAGGTGTAGTGTAAAGCAATACTGATAGAAAAAGCTTACCTAGATTGTGTCTTTTGTTTTTTGCGTGTTCGTGGATGTGTTTCTTTGTAAAACAGCCGAAAAAGACACAGTAAAGACAAGAATGGAGTCGGTTCAGGTGGGCGCCACACATGTGACAGATGCACGACTTGGCCTGTAGAAAAAAGAACAAGGGAAGGATGAGGGGGATTGGGGGAGAACAGAGGAGAAAAGAAAGTGTGAGAATAGAAGGGGAAGACAGCCCCCTCTGGATGAGCGGTAAGCATACAAAGAGTGGTACTCTCTGCCAGCTGAAACAGATTTCTATTTTTCAGTCGCTCACATAAACACTTCAGAGAACACATTGCTTGAATAAACCTGATATGAAAGCAGACTGACGACTGCTCGGCCTGTTGACAAATCAAACAGAAGAAAACCAACATATTTCCACACAGAATTTTTCACCCTCTACCATACTGGCAATGATGGGATTTAATGCTTGGCAAGCACACTGGAGATGCTGGCAAAATCTGTTTAAAGCACAAACAACATCAGCAGTAGCGGAGCGTAAGACTGCTTTGACTTCTCTTCAGAATAAACTGAGAAACTGTGCATTACGCCTGACACTACTGGCAAATCTGCAAAAAGACAAGTTGTGTTCTTATGAACAATCCCAATAAAATTTATTACTGCAAAGATGTAAATGTTACACACTTTTATATAGCAGCATTTTCACCTCTCCAAGGTTCTGTAAAGAACTTTTCAATGCTTCTTATTTATCCATTCACATTTTTCTATTTCACTCATACACCAATAAACATATCAAGGTCAGGGAGGGGTACAGTGTCCTGCCCAAGGACAATTTGGCACGTCAGAGTTAGGATCAAATCCACAATTGTCAGAAAGGAACCAAATTCTGCCAACTGTGAATGAAAAGTTACTTCATATCACAGATCCCAAAGAATATCTTTATGGCGTATGAGTTGCAGTTGAGTAGAAGAGCGTTGAGATATCCTGTTTGAAAAGGAGAAAGAGGGTGAGGACCTGCTGCAATGAGCCACCCACTCTTAGGAGTAAACCTGAAGGAAAGGAGATGTGAAGCAGCCAAGAATACAATAAATAAAAAGAAACTATTGAACAGAGCAGTTTACCGGTTTTTCATCTCTAGCACACTGTGTGAAACTAGCCTGTAAGATGAGAACATTCTGAAATATCCAAAGCTCTTAAACATGGACTCCATGAACCAGTGCACCATTGTCTACTTATTGCAAACTCTTGTCTAGTGATACAATAGAGTAATGTAACATCAGCTGGACAACAGCAAACATTGGTGTGTCAGTAAAGCAAAAAAGCAGCTGTGCCATGTTATTTTATTCCCTTTCCCTGGATGACACATACACGACTTCAGTCCATTATTGTGATTATGTTTCATATTATGCGATGATGACAACACGAAAAGCATTTTGAATAGCCAACAAGAATAGTGAAAACCAAAAATGTACAAACCAAATTTGTATTTTTATGATGAATTGGTTTAGGTATTCATGGCTCCCATGATGAACTACAAAAGCATATGATGCATATGAAAATTAGTAGTTTCAAGATAAACAAGAATTTAAAGACACACCTTCAAATAGTAAACATTTTGGTACAACTAGGTCTGTCACAATAACAAATTTTGCTGGGCAATTAATTGTCTCAGAAATTATTGCGAAAAATGATAATGTTGTTTGAAATTTAACAATAATTAATTGTCATTTTTTAGAAGAAATGATCTGTTTGGGTGTAGTACCTTTTTTGACCACCTGATGGCAGTATAAGCCTGTTTGAACCAAAGGATGGAATGGTGTCTCTAAAAAAAATGGGAGGGAGGGCCCTTGACGTGACATGGGCTGATATGGTGACATGGCGGACGTTCAGTGATTTGACCTCTTTAGCATAGCATTTTTCACACAAAGCTTTTAATTAAAAAAAAAAAATTAGTAAACAAGTAGGGGCCCAATTTCCTTAATTTGGGGAAATCGGAAATCAGCTGATACTTGCATGAGAAAACTATTTTGCCGATTTTTTAGTTTCAACAACAATTTTATGAACTTCATTTATATTTCAGAGCACTACCTCATGGCCAGTAAAAATAAGTTTGTATTGTTTTTACGATATTTTTCAAGGGTATGTTTTTCAATAAAATAAGATTGGAAAATTGAAGGTGCATTGTGACCTTGTAACACCTGACAGTGTTGCTTATAAAACAAAATCGGTATCGGCCAAAATTGGAATCGGCAGGTCAGACTTTTTAAAAATCGGTGATCGGCCAGAAAACTGCAATTGGTGCACCTCTATAAACAAGTTCTCAGTTACTTTTTGCAGAGAAAAACAACTTTTTACACGAAGGCACGAGTTTCAACCATGATTTTTTTGGAGCTCGACAAGACGGCAGTTTATTCCTGAGGTCGCCCTGTTAGCTTAGCTCGTAGCTTAGCTTCTCAACTAGCTGCTTTTAATGATCCAAAAATGCAATTTTGGATGGTTAAAACATATTTTAAAGAGAAAAGAGAAAGGGAGGGGTTGGTGAAGAGCACCGAAGTCCAGCCGTGTCTTCAACAGAAAGAGAGAGACACGAAGAAACGATAAAGCCGGTAAATGAAAATGGGGTCAATAATTTTCATTCGTCATGCGATTAACTGATTCATAGTTTTTGCGACAGGCCTAGGTACAACAGTCGAAGTCTAAAAATATGTTTTGGTAATCAGTTAAGTATAGAAAGTTGAAAAAAATCACTGATCACACAACAGAGTGGTGTTCAACTCCTAGTCCAACCCCTACTCAGCCCAACTAGCATAAATGTCATCAATTGTAACTGTTAGCAAAAGTTTTCAAAGTTCCTCCTCAGTCACTGACTTCCAGTACAAGGCTATTGGCTGTACCCACTTAAATACAGAGATTAAACTCTACTTCAAAAAGTGATGTTAAAGACAAAGTTCAGAATCAACAAATACTAAAAGACTGTATAATGAAAGGATAGACTCTGTGCTGACTTCTTATGTGCTTGTCAACTTCTTTTACAAAAAGCAAACTAAGTTCATTGTTCTCAAAAGTGTCAGATTTTTTGTCACAACATATTGATGAATACTATTAGCATACCCAGTGCACCATGGTTGTGTCACATTGCCACACAGACTGTAACCAGCTTAAAATATTACTTTTCAAAAATTAAGTTTATTGGGAAGTTACTTTTCTGCTACTGAGGTTTTTAGTTACACAACTAACTGCAAAAACATGAACTCAAAGAAAGTCTGTCTGTACATAAGCATATTGACTTTGCTGTGATAGTGTTTTGTCTGATAAGAATCAATGACACCAAGTTGAAGCCATTAACTTCTTACATAGTTTTATCTTTCATGTCACATTCATTAAAAAGGTAACAAGTATGGTTCATTATGGTAAAAAAAAAAAAAAAATAAAATGACTGGGAGAATCAGATAGAGCTAAAATGTCCATTTAAACACTTCAAAACCAAATTAACTTTCATTTACATGGCTTAAGACTCCAACAAACAAAACTAGCAACAAACACAGCTAATAAATGTAATGTGCATGCTAAAATGATGGGGCATAAAAGTTTAGACAACGCTATCATTTGTCTCATTGTGAAATCTGTTAGACAAATTAACCAAACAATAACAAGCACAGGTACCAATTACTGTGATTGCTGCAGTTCAGACTGTTGTGCTGAAAATGAGTTTTACTTCGTTAGACTTAGCATACCATAAAACTATAAGGTTACTGTAAGTATGAGAGTATCTTAAAATAATGCCATTAATCTTTGAGAAGCAAACTGATTTTCTAGATAATGTTCATATGTAGATCTCAAGTTCTCTTGAACGGATGCCATTTAGTCTGTGGTAACAGATGGGATCTTTATAGAAGCTGGTGGGTGTAAAATTTAAAATCCAGATCCATGAAGAACTTAAGTGTTAAAACTAATGGATACTATCCACTGGATAGGAACTATAAGTGATTCAGTATTCACTTAGTAATGAGCATGACACACCAAAAAGCATGATTTCCATGCATCACCACTAAAATTTGTAGAAAAAAAACATTCCAGTATAGCCTGGGTATTGAGCGTTAGAAGGCATGGTTTAGTATAGATTATGATGACACTGCAGCAGAAGGGATATTCAGGTTTATGAACACTAAGCTCTGTTTTATTCAAATGTGTATGTTATAGTCAGTGTGAAAATGGTGCGACACCAAGGCAAAGACAGGAGCTTGGAAAAGAGCTGCATGATGGTTGGAAAGGGTAAATGTTCAAGATACGTCTACACTAAGATCTAAACATCAAAGAAAAGAAAAATGATTAACCTGGAAGAAAAAGAATTTGTATTTTGATAACCCTTCAGAAGCTTACACTTATTTTTGACTCAAAAATACATTTTCTAGAACCAAAAGTTTAACTCAAATCCTAAATGTGAGCTTTTTATTCTTGCATCCTGACAAAGCAGCAACATTCTGCTAAAATACCTTTTTTCCCTTCCTAATGCACCAAAATGCCAAATCAAAAAGAGAACTGTCGATGCCACGCCTTGCCATCCTTCTCACCCTTTTCAGCCTCGACACCCCTGCGAAGTGCAAACAATCTTTGCCATCTCCCTCTCACAATGATTCAGATGGGCTGTCTATTCTTCTGTGTCAGCACTCTTGCATCTCTGTCTGCACCTAAAGCTTTTAATGTTCTATTGGATCGACTATTGATCATCTGCAGGCTCAGATGACTGAAACCAGTGTTGCGCAAGTAAAAAGCTCATGTTTGTTCCTCAATGGGCTTTCTCTTCTATCTAGAATGTGCATCTTGGAGGCCACTTAAGGCGGTGTTACATGTGCAGGGAAAAGGCTGTACTTTTGTTCAAAGCTGTTGATTGATGGAATAACTGATTAAAAGAGACATTAGCAGAATGAATAGATTGCCAATTCACCTGTAAAGTGAATGTTAGACAGAGTCCACTGAGACTGTAAACGACGACTGGAGCTAAAACAACCATGGTGAATCATCCAATGTTCTAAATCCAGCAGAATATATATTTATTAAAGAAAAACACGTCTCCAGTTCCCTTTTCTCTTGTTGCATTTTTTTAACGTGGGTGTGTTCCTCCTCCCTCTGCATTTAGGTTAATTC